GAGTGGTTTCAGGGGGGGCATCCCTCACCACCAAGTAAAAAAAAATCACAGGGGGCTGCCCTCTCACCAGCATTTTTAATAATCGACTAATAGAAAATAAGTAATCTGTTTTTAAAATGAGTAATATTATGGCCATGAATCGTCTTCTTCCCTAGGGTGTCCAGGACAAGGTTTGTAGTCAAGTAACGTTAACAAATTCATGGTCGAGTATTTAAGAAAAAAAGGGCAGAAAACGGGGCCAATTGTTAACAAACAAATGTATCCATTTTTAACAAAAATTTCTCACTGGTCTTGGCGGTCGCACACAGCACAAAATGACAGGAATTTACCAATATATCTAGTCAGCCTGATAATTCCCTTACTCTTAGCTTTGGCACTTCTAAACTATATTTTTCTACGAGCAGAGAGACACTTGAGCGACTACTAGGGCTCAATGAAAGAGGAAGCTAAAAGTCTGCACGTGACATAGTGACGTAGACTGTCTGGGTTTGGTAGGTTTTCTCCCCTTATACTTGTGTACCAGAAAGGTTGGCAGTGAGCTGGCAAGGCCCAAATTTTTTAAAATTGGAATCAGGAGTGTATTACAATCGTAAAGTTGATTAAAAACCGTGATGATACCGCCAAAATTGTAATGGTGGGCAGGTCTGAATTTGAATATTTTACAATTAGGTTTGAAACTTTATAGAAAATAATTTGCGGTCACAGTGGCCGTATGTGTGACCAGCAGTCGAATATATCACAGTTTCATCCCCAAAAAAGCAGTGCAGCGAGTGCATCTGTGTGCAGAAGTGAAAGTAAAAATTTACACACCTAACTACTTTCAGTTGTGGGACTCACACTGGCATGCCATATGATGATACAACAATCAAGGCTAACAATCAATTGTGAAAAATAAAAGAAATCAGGACTCGATAGGAACAATATCAATAACGGAGTTTCTACGTACACGGTAACCGGGCACGTAGTCTCAGTATCTACGAACACGGTAACCGGGAGCTTAGTTTCGGGGGCCCCTTGAGCTAGGAGCACGGTAAATGCTTCGCTCCCTTATTGACCTTGACTTCTTTCATTTTTTCCCCTCTATCCTGTTGTATTTATTTGTATCCAGGTTTACGTAAAACTTCGAACCCAAATAATGGAACACACCCGTGTCGTTTCCTCATAGATAACTGTGAACCCAAATAATGCAACACACTCAAGGCACCCCCCTCCCCCCCAAAAAAAACTGCGCTAAAGCTGTTTGAGTTCATTTTTTTTCTCCTCATTCCTTTATCCTCAATTAGTACATGATTATCACGGCACGCACTTTAAGCCCAAGTGTCAAGTGTAAAAAAAATGGAAGTGGCTATCCTCACTCGGGGCAGGTAGCGTAAACACGGCCTCGCGGGCACTCGCGGCCTTCCGACCGCGTGGTATCGGTAAAATCGGGGTAATTCCGATCGCTGTTTCTTTGCTCTTTCACTATAAAACACCAAATGCCGTACACCTTGTAAAAGTTCAGCTTTTCCTCGTTACAATGGTGTAAGTTGTTTATATGTCCGATTATTAGGAGCTGGAGAATCGCCGACGAAAGTGAAGCCCCTCGCGGTCGGAATGCGAGGTCGGCCGGTTGAAAAATTGACACACGTGCATTCAAATGCTTCGCGGAACGAGGGATGATTAAATACCGTCTTTTCATTGGCGGAGAATTGTAGAGCTTTAAACGGGCTTTCCCGTGATATAAGTTTAGCCTTTGGCGTCTTTATAGAAAGCTTTTCAAAGTACCGTCAAAATGTTTAAAGATCCCTTTTTACACAAAATATGTATAATACCGACTTATAACAAGTGTCAATTCAAAGATCAGTTTATTTTCTATTAGAATAAAGTTATTAACTTGGAATTATTTTTCATCAATCCTTCCGCGAGACTCGGAAAACATGTGACCCCGCACGTGGGGTACACTACAGTATAGAGCCGACTCGCTCCCCGCGGGGACCGGTGCGGCGCCGCCGGGTCAACGCTCGGTGTTTTTGTCGACATAACGACAGATCATCGTGTTTGAGGCGATAAAATACTGATTTGTAAAGATCTCACAGTCTTGAAAAAAATTAGGCTCCATATTTGTTATAGTGATTGTACTCTGTTAATGTGGAGATGTTTAGTGCACTTGGTACTTTTTTATTGTCTGTCAAACATGGGGTTGCAGCCAGTGACTGACTTTAACAAATTTGATCAAATTTTAAACAACTACAATTTTCTTAAAAATTGACGGAGAGGTTAAAGAATGGTACCAAAATGCTCAGTGGATATAGGCCTTTCAAATGGTACAAGATAAATTTGGCATACAGCTAGTTTGAAAATTTAGTTTCTGGTACCTACTCGGGGTGAGAATAAAAATACAATCAACCTCTCACCCCGGGTGAGACTTGCCACTGTTGGCTATTCTCACCCGGTGTGAAACAAGACCTGTTTTTCCTAATTTCGGAATACTGTCTATCGGTGTGGATGATCAAATTGATAAAAGCAAAGAAAAAATTACGTTATAATAGCACAAAAGTAAGCTAATTTGATCGTCTACAAAGATGCTAGGCTATAGCTATTTCACTTTTCGAATCAAGCCGAATTACGCGGGTCGCCATTTTGTTTTGCCTGGAAGTTCTCGCAAGATCTACTCCTCCTCTCTTCTCTCTCTCTGTCTCTTTCTGAATACTGTCTATCGGTGTGGACGATCAAATTGACCAAAACAAAGTTAAAAAATAATGTTAAAACACAAAAGTAAATAAATTTGGTCTTCTACAAAGATGCTACGGCTATTTAGCTTTTCGAAACGAGCCGAACTACGCGGGTCGCCATTTTGTTTTGCCCGGATTCTCTCTCTCTCTCCACTGCTGCCCACAGACAAAATTGTGCACGCTTTTAGTAGTTTCAGGCTAACAGTAGTAATAGAACGTTTGTTCACGGCACAGAATTCTACAATTCTGTTATCACAGTGTAGAATTCTGTGGTTCATGGTGAACGCAAAACTGGTTGGCCTAGATCTAGGCTATACCGGTGAACGCACCCCGGGTGAGAATAGCCAAAAGACTCGCCTGCGCTATTCTCACCCGGGGTGAGAATAGAGCAGAGGTGGCCAAAAAAAATACCCCCACCCCCTCCCCTCGGTCGTTCCACACTGGTTAGGTGTGTATATCTTGCGAGAACTTGCTCGCAAAACAAAATGGCGACCCCCGTACGTAGTTCGGCTCGATTAGAAAAGTGAAATAGCCATAGCATCTTTGTTGTCGATAAAATTAGCTTACTTTTGTGCTATAACCTAATCTTTTCTTTGCCTTTATCTATTTGATCATCCACATCGATAGAAAGTATTCCGAAATTAGGAAAAACAGGTCTTGTTTCACACCGGGTGAAAATAGCCTACGGTGGCAAGTCTCACCCGGGGTGAGAGGTCGATCGTATTTCTATTCTCACCCCGGGTGAGATAGCCACTTCCCCCGAAAAACACCTCGATCAACGCGACCAGTGTGAATGAACTTTGTTGACCTCGACGGTCCCCAACACACGCGCTACTCACACGTAGGACCATAGGCCGTAGGAGGTCATTTCGAACTCGAGTCCAGAGAGTAGTCTACTCAGTAGAGCTGGCCAACAACAAACAACATAAAACACCTAACCTCAGGCCTCAGGGTATACAATCATCAAGACCCCTATCTCTAACCCAACCTCAAAATATCGGGATTAATCCAATTGCTCAAAGAACAAGAACTAAAACTAGATATCTAGAGATCTAGATTCTAGATTTTCTAGATCTAGATCTACACGAACCACGCCTGCACCGTAGTCGTAGTATTAGTCACGTAAACATCAGTGTACTACATGTGTTAGCGTCTTCCTATCCGGGGTCAGGCACAGGCATTTAACTTTGATGAACTCACTCCAGGAATAATTAAACTGGTACACGCTTGGGGGTGGTGGAGATGGATAGTGCTGCCTAAGATCAGGGCGTGGTGTGGCACCCAAAGGACTTTGAGGAAGGCTACCTTCAGAATTATATGATTTGCGAGATCGAGATGAGATTCCTGCTTGTGACGAAGCCATCTTTGTTTTCACTATAAATCCCCTGATTTTTTGTTGTTGTTGTTGCTTTTCCATCACTCTTCGCCAAGATTTTTACACAGCAAAATTAATTGGCTGCGAGTTGAGTAGTCACTTTACGACACTTCTTGCGAAAAAAAAAGAACTCAAATTGTTATCAACACTTTAAAAAACAAATTATTTTGTTGCCTGTAATTCACAGGTACACAGTCTCCGTGGGCGAACAGTAACTATAGAAAATCGTAACTTTTGAATTTCTTTTGCTTTGGCCACAGCGTTGTGTACAGACTGGGTGCTCAAGACAAGGAAGGAAGAAGAGATTTAAACTAAATTAGGCTATAGAATGGGCCTCAGTCAGGCCTCGGATTACTCAGAATTCAGAAGATAAAAAGGGTTTGAGATAGGGAGGGTATGGGGTTTAATTTGCACTGCTTAGGCCTTCGTGTCTTATGACGAATAACCCCTGAGGTGTGCAATTTATTCTATAGGCCTGTCATTGGGCGGCCGCGCGCGCGCGCGTGTGTGTTTGTGCGCGCGTGCGTGTGTGTGTTTGTGCGCGTGTGTGTGTGTGTGTGTGTGCGTGTGTGTGTGTGTGTGTGTGAGAGAGAGAGAGAGAGAGAGAGAGAGAGAGAGAGAGAGAGAGAGAGAGAGAGAGAGAGGGAGAGAGAGAGAGAGAGAGAGTACGTGTTTACGCGGATACCGGTACACCCAAATGGCTATATATAGAGAGAACCCATACGTGTGTGGATGTGTGCGCGTGCGAGCGCGCACGCTTGCACGCGTGCAGATATGCATGTTTACAATCTGCACGTGATCTATACGCCCAAATTGCAAGATTAAGATAGAACCAACGCCTACTCTAACAGTTAGAGTAGGCGTTGGATAGAACCCATAGCCTGCGTGCGTGTGTGTGTGTGCTTATATTATGTGTGTGTGTGTGTGTATGTGTGTGTGTGTGTGTGCGTGCGTGCGTGCATGGGTGGGTGCACCTGATGTATCGGTACGAGTTTTAATTGTAAATAATCAACATTAGAAGGGCATTTTTTTGGTAAGTGTTTTACGGCGCTCGCAACTGCATAATGTCATAATAACGAGCGCGCGGGGACACATTAATAAAAACATATTATTCAGACGGAAGGAAATTTTGAATTTTGCCCGGGCGGCCGAAGCTTTCTCTCATCGATCTTTAACATGTGCAACTTTCACACGGCCCTCCGAGATTTTTCGCTCTTGTCCGAGAAGGCTAGGTGTAGATAAGAAGGGAATGGAAGAAACAATAGAAGGAGACAAATAATTTTGGACAAAAGCCTGGATTACAAATTATTTCTAAGAAAGGAAATGAATGAATTTCACTTTGAAGATGTTAACAATCGACTTAATCACCCAACAAGATGTCTCACTCCTCCATCCATTTGAGATAAACTTTAGAAAAAACTTATTCCTCAAAATCGAATTTGAACCCTCTTTTCATACTGGCTTTGTTCTAATGTGCAATACACAATATACTTGCGTCTTTAACTTGGGGTAGTTGCTCCAAAAGAAAGGAAAATAACCTATCGTGACCCCAGAATGACAAGGTTCTCCAAATTCGGGATTCTTAGACTTAGAGTTTGGAGTATGAATGGGACTTGCCGCTGTAGGCCTACTTCTTTTTTTTTTTTTCCTCTCTCTCTCTCTCTCTTTTTCTGTTTTTGTTCTGTGTGTGTGTGTGTGCGTATTTGTGCTTTGCGGCGCTCGCGACTGAAGTCATATGAGCGAGCGAGACACAAGTTGGTTGTTTTCACATTAAGCATTTTCAGTTTTTGGTAGGAATTAATTTTGAATTTTGTCGCCCAGATGACGAGCGAAGTTGGAAGACTATTGTCGATTTCAGGAACACCAATAAGGGATCTGTAACGTGCACACTTTGTGTACGGAACTTCCAAAACTCTTTTACGCCTTTATCAAAGAAGATTAGGTGTTTTATCGTATCATCTTACCTACCCTAAGGTCAGTGGTGTGGCTGAAAGACAGCAGTGAGCTTTAAGGAGCCAGGAGTAGCAGTAGAATAAGAAAGTCAGAACCCAGAGAAAGGGGAGGCAGAAAGTTGAGATAAAAGTAGATGAAATACTGTAACTTGTAACACGATTAGAAAGCAGGAAAGGAGGTGAAAGGGGAAGGAACATAGTGCGAGGATCTCTTTGAAACTTTCAGTATTTCTAAAAAAATCATTTTGACAGACTGCTATTTGCTATGCAAAGCGCACGGATCGGATTAACAAGCAAAATTAAATTTCCTCTTTGGAAAGTGGAGGCACAGAGTTCCCCACGTCGTAAGGATACGATAAGTAAAACACGACGTACAAATAGAAATAAACCGCCTTTCAGAGTGTTGAATTGAGGATCCACCCCAGAAAGTATAAAATCTTAAGGATGCCGATCCCAATAGAAGAAAATGCAACTAGAAGACGTTGAATCCTTCTGCTTTCTTGGGAGTATAATGGGCAGAGGGTTGAAAGAGGGAGGAACAGGCGTCAAAATAAAGTCCCGCATCGGAAAGGCGCAAGCTGCTTCTTTGAAAAGAATTTGGAGGACTGGGGATGTCTCACTTAGAACAAAAGCTGGGGATTTTCAACCCAAACGTTAAGTCCGTCTTGTTCAGTTGTATGGATCATAATGGATGTGGTGAGACATGGAACACATCTCAAACTGGCATAGAGGATCCAGGTTTTCTCGAATAAGCGTCTTAGGAAGTTACTGAGGATCAGACGGACAGACACTGGTCACCAACGAGGAAGTGTTCAAGGAGAACAAGACAGATCCCAGCCAGAGATGAGGTGGGAAGAAGGCGGTGGCGATGGATTGGACATACTCTCAGGAAGTCAGGCAACTGCATCACAAGGAAAGTGTTGGATTGGAATCTACAGGGTAAAGAGTCAAGGGGAAGACCACGTGGAACCTGGAGAAGGATCACAGAAATTGGTGCACAGAAAAGTGTGAAGACATGGAATAACAACAAGAGGCTAGCCCAGGACAGGGAACGGTGGAAAGTGTTTGCTCGCGGTCTATACCCTGAGAAAGACAATGAGAGAGTCATTTACTCCAAGGACGCAACGTCAAGCACCTGACTGGATTCGAATCCATTACCTTACGGTTGCGAGGCCTATAACCTAACCACTAGGCCACCGACTTATACATGTACATGTACTATGAGACAGCACTCCTTTTCTTTCTTTTTTTTTTCATGAGACTGATCATTTTAACATTGTTCTTCTTTTTTAGTTTTAGAAAGAATTTTGTGGTACTTGAAACACAATACGGTCATATAAGCCGAAGATTAGAGGTGTTACAAGAGAGTAACAAACACAAAGAAAAAGGAGAGATCAGGACGACAGATATTTAATAGGAATGAAGGAGCAAACCATACCAGAACACCGGCCAACCACCCACCCAAATTTAATTAATTTAACAAAGAATAATCTATTATTACAATGGGGTACAAAATAAAAATCAACACCAATAATTAACAACGGAAATCAAATGATTTATTTCCACACAACATCTACATGAAAACAACAAACCATAGGGCTGGCCAACAAGGTTTTCAACCCTTGTAAAACGTACAAGCTGGTCCTATTCGAAGGGATAGCAGTGGCTTCAAATGAGATGTTGTGTGCCACAATTGACAGCACGGTTTGTGGCCCAGACATAAGAATAGAATACCAGAAAGTCCAAACAACCGCCGACAGACATGTCAATGTAACACAATGTAATCTTTGAAAGCAAAAAGGCACTTACGACGATGCTGAAACACTTGCGTCTCAATAGGTGTGAGTATATTACATGGACAACAATTTGAAAGTACCTCCGCCCAACTTAGGCTCATGTTAGGGCTGTTTTATATTTGTTGAGTGTTCACAGGATACAAACTTACATGCAATGCACATTCATTCACTTGTATTTTGTGTTAAGATAAAGGTATTGTTAAGCACCTAGAGCAGTACTGTTGGATGGGAATGGGCACTGTAAAAATTACTTGTACTGTCATTATTATTATTATCATACGATATAATCCAAAGGCAAAGATCGCTATCATAGAGTCACTGACAGAACTAACCTACAAATACTCTTAACACATTTCAGTAATGTAACCTGAAAATAATTTTAGTAATGCATCATGTTATATTTTCAAGGTTTTCTCATGATATTTCATGTCTCAGAACCAAGCATTAAATCATCCATTACTGATTATATTGTTTGTGTGTTGCAACCCATTCAATAAACGATAAAGGAAAATTTATGTTACTTTTTAAAAGTGAAATATTCAGACCTGATTCTTTTACAGTATACTGGCTCTGCCTGTATTTGAAATACCTTATTGACGAACACCTATTTATATCTCATTCTGAGACGAAACTAAGCAATTATGCTAAGGACATGCATGAATACTTTCAGTTTCAGGAAACATCCTCACCCATATCATTTATATGCAACCCATTTAAAATGCCCCAAAACATATGGTACCTTTTGGTTCAAACATGAAAAGAAAGATTCACAAGCAACGGTATACTATCTCGGCTCATCTCTTTACAGAAAAACAGTGTTTTTCTGTAAAGAGACGAGGACTTCATGGGAGAAGAACAAAACTTCAAAGTAGATTTACCAGAGAAAAATATGTTAAGTAGTGAAAGTGTGACAGTGTTAGATCCCTTAAGTCTATGATTTCTCAACTGATGGGCTCTGGCCTAAATTATTATATTTTTTTTAAACCCCCCCAAAAAACAGGACTTCTTGTGAGCAAAACAAAACTTCAAAGTAGATTTACCAGAGAAAATTTCTTCCTTATGAGTAGTGGTTCCAAGAAAGAAAAAAAAATTTCTGTACATGGACCCGCACCATCAAAAGTTAACAACCTCAAGTTTGCCTCAACATAAGACACACTTTGTTTTAAGGAGAACAGTATTCAACAACAAAAAAACCCCAACCCCACAAGCACTCTGATATAACTTTGCCAAACACATATATATAAAACAAGACAAATCACACATGTCTTGCAATGCCCTGACAAGAAAACAATTGTAAATTATGACGATACTGATCTCGGTGTTACTATCCCTTGCATTCTAGACGGTAGAAACCATAGATTTGTACAAATAATTATGCAGGATCAAACACGTCTTGATGAACTGGAAGAGCTGACTTTGTGGAAGGAAAAAGTAGAAAGTGGGCCCACTGTTCACAATCAACACAACAGTTAATTTACTAAAACTCAAAGTCTACACCAAAATAGAGAAAATATGTGGTCAAACACACATTTTCACAAACACAAAAGGTACTATAACAAAAAACAAAACAAAAAACGAAACAAACAAAAAAAAATAATTCAGAAAAAAAAAAAGGTAGGTTTACGATCTGGTACTATAACAGTTAAGCACTCTTAAATCTGAAGTCATCAGCTCCCCGAAACAACCCCAGCTTGGCTGCATCAAGAATGACTAACTATACCAGAAATAACGCAGCCAGAGAGGAGGCAGTGAAAGAACTATTCTTGAACAATCAAAATTCAACACATTTTTCCCTCGGAGAGAAGAATTCAAATGCTTCGTAGTATAAATATAAGTCCACGGGTACTATCCTTGAACAAACAATATTTCAATAGGCCTTTACCTCGTAAGAGAGAAAAACTCAGATGTTTCATATAAATATAGGACCACATGGTATATCTGGACACTTAAAAATCCTGTTGACAAAATATATATAATCTATACGAATGTGTGCAATATAATACGACCATACAACAGACCATCGTGTCACTGCCATTAAGTCAAATGCATACACCATAGTCAGTAAAAACTTGAAGACGGGGCAACCTGAACGCTTAGGAAAAGCACAAGGATCATGTTGTGGGTTTGTGACAACCTAATTTCCCACACCCATCAAATAGGCCACTGTATTACTCAATTTGTATTGTTACTTGTTACAAAGTACACTTAAAGCTGGCTGATTTTAACAGTAAGGTATCTTTATGAAATTTCCACAACGACTAGCACATATATGTAAGAATCCTTTGATCCCATGAGAAGACAGGCATGAGAGCATAAAAATCTCAAATATTTAATTCTTGTATTTTTCTGTCAATGAAAACCGCATAGTATCAATTCTGTATTTCTGCAAATTTACGTTTAGTATGTCAAAAGAGAAGAAAATAAAGAATTAAAATTAAGGGCAGAATGGGGAGGAGGGAATTATATAAATCATAACACTCTTCAATACTCTAAGGCACAGTCATCTGGTGTAAATAAATTTTGACAACTAAAATACATCAATTTGTCACTAATTTCTGGAGAGAAACAGACTAATGCAAAATGCTTGTAAAAATAAAAGAGACACAAAAATAGAAACAATGTGAAATCAATATTTTACACTTAGCTTATCAATACAGAGTGAAAAGAAAACTACTTCATTAACGTCTCCCTTCTGTCGCACAAGGGTATCTTTGATATGACACACCATGCTGTTCTTTGTACACAAATTACAACACAAAACACTAAGACAAAAGCATTTACAAGTTGAGGGATCAGCACGCCGCAAGATCTCGGGGGAAATAAATAAAAGTTATGTACACACAGCATCAGACACAAAGCAGATATGGTCGCTTTTAAGCACGAGGGGGCTACCCTGGAAAATGCTGTTTTGAGATAATCGAAGGTAAAGTTTTTGCCCCTTGTTTGGTTTCTTTAAAAGACAAGGAGAGTTTTCTTTATAACCTAACAAATATACACACCAATGAAACCAAACTTCTCCTACACGTAGGGCAATGTCCACTTATGGTGTAGGTCAAGATTTCTGGAAACCCCCGAAATGTGGGTAAGCCCACTTGTCCTTAAAAGCAACCATATGTAATGGACAGCTTTTCACATCTCCAGGCTTGCCAACTTTTTTCCAAACCCAGTGTCAGGGACACAAAACATTACATCAGATTACGTACCACCGAACAAAATTACATTAAGTCACAAGTGGGACTGGTTTTGGTGTGGTCTATAGTCTATTGTGTAATTGTCATCTCAAATTTTTGATTGCCAAATTAGGGGCAGTCCTGGGAAATTCAGGACAGTTGGCAAGCCTGTATCTCTAACTAACAGAAAAATTACAGGGGAAAACAAATGAATTTGTCAAAAGCAATGCACTTTCATCACAGACAACAACAGCCTGTTCACTATTGCATCAGCCAACTTTCAAAGCAGGGATGCCCCAAAGAATTAACTTACACTATCTACGGTGGCAAGAACTACAATATTTTTTAATACAAGGAGAAGTACAGGCTCAATAAAGATTGCACAATCATATTTATATCAGAACAAACATACTTCCTTTACATCTGACAGTAATATGCATGCTTATATTATACTAGTACTTTTCATTACTTCCTCAACAAACACGCTAAACTATTAAAACAAATTAAAGCTAACAAAATGTATACAAGAAGCCATCTGCCAGCAAAGCTTTGTAAGCACTGGAAAGCAAAGAAAATCATACTAAAGCACACATCAACACATGTCAGTAGATAAAGGTGAAATGGAAGAAACATTATCACAAATGCTTTTATCATTTACACACAGCCAGGGCTGCATTACCACACCACTACAGGCGCCGTTAAAACGAATCCCTTCACCTCTTGCATCCTCGAAAACATAAAATCAGCACGGTAATAAGTATAACTCCATCTAGTCATTGCACAGAAAAGTGGAAAAGAGCAACATTGGTGAGTATACATTTTTTCCCCCTCCAGAACTGTTTATAAGTCAACATGAGCCAAATAAAATCAAGATCAATGTGAAGAGGAAAAAAAAGCTTCCAGAGCTTTGATGTAATGTTTCAGAGGAAACGGTTCCCCTTTATGGTTCTCCGCACAAGCCATGAGTACCTCAGATTCTCACCCAGTCGCGACCCCAGTGCTTTCTTGTCCTATCTCCATTTTTTTTTTTTTACATAGAAAAAACGTTACTTCTTTATAAGCTCACTCTTTGTTATGAACTGTTTTCACTGTTATTAAAAATGGAGATAGGAAAGGACAAGAAAGCGCAGAGGTCGCATGCAGTGCTGATAACTGTTAGCCACTGCTATCAGTGAAAGTGAAAGAGAAGTTTGCAGGGTTTCTTTTTTACTGAAGAATAGGAAATTTTGAGATTACGAAACTACTTGAAAAAAATACAGCCAAAAATAGTCTCTTCAGTGTGAATACGGGCTTCAAAACTCAATAGAATATCAGTGCAAAAGCATGCCCCTAGACTACAGAAAAAAGAAGTTTTACAATGTTCTTCACTGTGCATATGTTATGAATACATGCATTATACGAAGAATGGCATTCATCAAAGTCACAACCTGAGTGCAAGGCACAATATGGTTCACTTAGACAAAGTGGGTCATGACCATGTAAGTAGTAAGTCATCTCTTCAACAAAGCTTTTTAGGGATTTTGTTTAAATCTACAAATTTATTCCAAACATATGAGGTAAAATTTCTCCACATCAAAGTCTCTTAGGCAGTCTAATCATATTAGTCCTATTACTTCTATCCACAACATTCTTAATCTTAAGTTGGAAACCAACACTTTCAAGCAGATACACACAAAAGAAACCCCTTACTTATTCAATTCTTCTCCCCTCTTCCAAATGTGTACCGTACATGATGATACGTTATTTCTTTGCAGTCGTACAACCTGATCAAGACTGGTGGAGGAGCATCAACTTCAACTCATTGACAGTCAAAAACCACAGCTAATTTATTTTTCACGTTCTAACAGAAACCCTGCACATGGGAACAGCCATTACTAAAACGCAACCAAAAATACAATATAACACAGAAATGACCATCGTTTTCAAAGACCTCCACCTGAATGTACAGAAAGGCATGCTTCAATTTGTAGATGCTATGCAATGAAGGATGGAATGTAAGCCAAGCTAGACAGAGGGATATCATTTACATTAGACAACTGCTATAAGCAAATGAAGACTACTGGAAAAACCAGATAAGTCATAATCTTATAAATATTTTTTTCCCCTTGTTGCATTTTATAAAAATCAAATTTCTTTCTCCATAAATGATTCCACGCATTATGCAGCTAAATCCTGTGCTATGTATGTGGCCACAGCAGAAACCACAAGTCAACTTAACACTTTCCCTAATGCGGCTCGCGGACGTGGCCTCGCAGGACCGAGAGCCGCAAAATACGGCTTGAGGGGTTCGCAATCTATTCTAATCCAATAATGAAAAGACACGAAATTCTCAGCCGATCCACGTTTTCAAAATAATAGAATAGACTTCCTGTTTGCCGATTCGAAAGAAAATATAGCACTGAGAGATGAGTTTTCGTCATTTCAGCGCTTTTTTTTGTCCCCTTCGAAACAAAAATGAGAAAAAAAAAGCGCTCCCCTGACTTCAGTATATGTCTCATATTTTCACTTCTATTATATTAGGTACAAATACATAACTTTCAGCATTTCTTTGCATTACTTGAGGCAGCCTACCTGGTAAGTTTGAATGCTACTATTATTGTACTTTTTTTTATTTTTTAGATATGACCTTTTAAAGTCGGAAAATTGTTGATTTCATATGACACCTTCGATATTGCATAATCACTTTTAGAAACCCCAAACTAATATAATTGGAATAAATCTTCAATATTTTATCACCATCTGATATGTAATGTCCATTACTATTAGGCAAACCACATCTATTGCCTTAGTATTTAGGAAGACCTGGCAACTGTAACCACTCTTCTCTAAAATACGTGCCAGTGGTTACAGTTGCCAGGTCTTCCTAAATACTAAGGCAATAGATGTGGTTTGCCTAATAGTAATGGACATTACATGATAGATTATTTTTTAACCTTCAGTTTGATGGGCCGTATGATATGGTTTGAGTGTGTTTAGTTGGATGTTTTGACATTTTCCTTTGGTGCTGTAGGGGCGTAAAAATAGGTCTGGGAAAAGCCCTGGGCCAGTGGTGGATTTTGGCCTGGTAGGAAAAGAGTTAACCTATAACTCTTCTAACTCGACTATAATTTCCCGGGAAATATATGCTCCTCTTTGGACGAGGATGTATTGGTCATTGTCAGAATTGACAGACGAGCTATTAGTTATGATCAAATGTATGGTAAAATAGATGCTTTAGGCACTATGAGATACGGACTTTCAAACTTTGAATTTCAATTTTCTCCACTTTCTTAAAATAAGACTTATCTAGTTTTTCCAGTAAAGTCTTCAAATACTTAAGTTGTGCATAGCCTGTTTGAGTTTGATCCAACTTTCAGCAGCACTGTTCTCAAAAGTACAAGTAATGTCAAACAAACACAGGATGACACATTTGCATATATAGCAGTACCGTCTCTGACAAAATGGATCCCCAGAATCTATTACTTCAAATTCTCTGGTATCACATGATGCATATATATAGATTTAAAAAAAACCTTAACAAATGATACGGAGATGGAGAAATTTTAGAAACTACAATTTCTCAAATTATTAACTACCGGTATTCAAGAATATAAATAAGATCTTTCACTGCAAAACTATAGACCTACGCCAGGACCAAATTTTAACCCAATATACGAAAACACAGCTTGTATGCTGATGGAGATTTATACCAGCAGAAAGAACAGAGATAGGTCATTTACAACAATTCATGAAAACGGATTGCTCAGTCTCATGCACAGTTCGTTGAGAGCCACATTTTATGACTTTCTCATTGACTGATTGATTATGAATATGGTGACTGTCCCAGAGAATGGCTTAAATGTTTTTGTTAAATAACAACGAATTAAATTTTAAAATTTGACAGTAAAGTGACACCAATTATCTATCTGTCCTACCAAAAAGACCGGGGTAAACAAAAAAATTTGACTCACATGCTGATAGAGGAAAAAGAATTCAAGAACGACAAAAAAAAATCTTTTTAAGTTCTGGAGTTTATCACAATACTTTGTGAGAAATCAATGACAATAAACCATAAAAATGATCAAAACCAAAAAATTTACAAGGCATTCTTCCGAAGTAACTGAAGGAATAATTCTACACTACTTTCTTTCATTTATTGTTCTCTTGCGGACCCTGTAAGTAGCTCTTGGCCATCTGTGTCATGTCGAGCTGGTCCTTTGTTAAGCCACACGCAACCTTCCTGTAGGCAGGATCAATCTGGAGGAAGAAAAAAGAGCAAATATTTACAGACATATTTTACAGACAGACCAATCCCATACTCAAATGAGATGAAAGATGATATCCGACATCTTATGTTCTGTGGTAGTGCTTTAAAAAAACAACAACCCAGCATCGGACAGTTATGCTGACAATTAAGAATAAAAGAATAAAGACAACTAGTTGCTTTTAAGTACAAGGGGGCTATCCCGAAAAAAGCTGTTTTGAGAAAATCGAAGGTAAAGTTTTTGCAACCTGTTTAGTTTCTTTAAGAGACTCTATAACCAAACAAATATACACACCAATGAAACCAAACTTTTCCTATAGGTAGGACAATGCTCACTTTTGGTGTTGGTCAAGATTTCGGGAAACCCCCAAAATCTGGGTTAGCCTGCTTGTCCTCAAAGGCGACCAATTGGGAAAAGACAAATGCAGTACCTAGGCCTTTTGGTAGACATTAAAGTCATGAAAATCTACTCTCAGAGGAAAACAAGAAGTGAAAAGAGGGCAGGGGGACACCCAGAACAACATAACTCATTCATTACATAATATTTTTTCTCATTCTGACACTTTATTACTGGAGCTCTAAATAACATATATACACAATGCATCTAATATTAGACTCTTCGTGTTGAAAGCGTAAAAAAAACAACTTAAACAGACGGATGACGAGAAAAGACCACAACAACATAAGATTTGTTTCAAGAGCATCTACCAGAGAAATGAGCTGCCAACTTTGACCACCCATGTCTTTCAGATCCAGCACTTGAAGAAGAATGTCCTGGACATTTGCTTTAAAAAAAATACTGAACAGAAAAGACAGTTCTTATGACGATTTGGAAACTGTTGGTGTAAAAAAAACAACCTTAAAAACAACTGATACTAAACTTACTTTGACACGCTGCTTTGGGGGTGAATCTGAAAACACAATTTTCTTTGCAGGATTTTTCGGTGTATTCTTTCCTGGTCTTTGAGTCTGTAAAAAACGAAAAACAACACTTTTAAACATTTTTTTCTTGGGGGGGGGGGGGGGGGGGGGGGGGGGTGTGTGTTATACTAACATTACATGTAAGTGAGTAAGCTAGTCTTTCAACACAACATAACAGATCTCCCTCAAGAGTAAATCCAAATCCAATACATTAGCTTTACCCAGTGTGAGTGAAATAATCCCTACTGAAATTTAGGCAGGTAATTAACAAGCAAAAACACACCAATTTGCAAATAAAAAAAAAAAATCAAAGTGGAATACGCACGCCTCTGGTTACTCTTAACTGATTATCTTCCATTGAATTATACCGGGCTTATTTCAACAATCATAACAAAGATTTTTTTGGAGTGCAAAAAATGACAATCATTTTCCGCCATGAAGAAATTAAGTCGGAGCGGAATACACCAGAGAACAAACCAACTAACTTCGACAAAAAATAAGTTTAGTTTTAGTTAGTTATATGGCATTTGTAACACGAAAAGGTCACATGGGATGATACAGCTTTGTTTGTTTTAGTAAGAGTTTTTAAGGCACTTGCAACACAAATAGGTTATAAAGAGTCGAAGAGATCTTACTAGAGTAACGTACAAAGAAAAGAAGGAGGAGACATAAGACGATAGATGGTTGATAGGAAAGAAGGGGCAAACCACACCAGAGCACCCACCAACTACCCGCAACACAAAATAAAGTTCGTCAGAGTAAAGCCAACCACAAAGCAGCAGCAGAACTGCAAGATTTGGTTTTCACAATGCTATTATTGAATATTACCCTTCCTTCACAGTCAAACACACTTAACATAAGCTTTAGACTTGTAGTCAAACTGCATTAAATTTTTTAATTTTTGTTAAATTATAGTAGAGGGTTTTACGGCGCTCGCAACTGCATAAGGTCATATGAGCGCCAAATTAAAATTTTCAAGCAGTAGGAATCAGAATAAGAGGGAACAGGGAGGAGAAGGGCTGGGGATCACATGTCTGAGAAAGTCGCAGGAGAAGGTCTAAAGGAAGTGAAGTCAAAACGTAATGGGTACAAAATTCTTCAGAGTTTTTTCCAACATCATGGACATCTTTGTAACTTGTGCCGTAGGGAAAACAAACAGGGTGAAATGACACAAAAGTTCAGTAAGTGTTGCCCCACCACTATAGATGAAGACCAAGCAAACAGACAACTTTTTCTATTATTTTAAAAGTTCATAAGTTCACTGTCATTACATGTAAAAGTGTATTTTAGACAGACAAGACATCCAACCAGCAGGCTATTCAGTGATACAGAAATAGCAAACTGCCATTTTAAAATTGAATGCGTCAAAGAATTTTGAGGCAGGAAAGACTTTGGAAATCTATTGTGCATCGCAATTCTAGACATTCTGCCAACCTTCAACAAATATTCCTGTAACTATGTTCTGAGATGGTAAGATACAAACAGTTATTCCTTTAACTGGTACTGTGTCTTACTTGAACCGTTTCTGTTTGCCACTCCTTCAGTTGCAAATATCGACCTCTATAATATTCTATTCAAGTCAGACGGGTATTTTTTTCCTCAAAAGCAAGACAAAAGAACAAGCTTTAAGTGAATGCCAAAAACTCTATATGCCCCAAAAACTGACAAGCTCCAGTTTCTATGGTGTCTTAACAATTATTCTTTGTGTCCCCCTCCTTTGTAAGAAATGCCGAGTATAAAAAAGTGCTCTGGAAAAAAAATAGTTGTGGGAAGTAAAGGAAGCTATAAAAAAAAAAGGTAAAAATAATTGTCATCAAATACAGACCACAATGAGCTTCATCAGGCATCAAAATAATGAAAGAAATTACTTTCAACACAATCCCCATCACATCTAATATATAGAAACCCAAGAACTACCCAGTACGACAAACAAGAACATTTACTCATTTTCCAGAAAATATCAGCTATAATAATAACAGGCACTACCTGAATAAGTTGAATGTTTTACCTTTGCGGAAAATATTTTACGGCACTTGCAACACAAATAGTTCATCTAAGTGTAAAGATTAAAAGTGTTACTAGAGAGTAATATACAAAGTAAAGAAGGAGAAGAGATAAAGACGACAGATGTTTGATAGGAAAGAAGGAGCAAACCACATCAGAACAACTGCTACCCATCCACTGACAATTTTAAGCCCAAAATAAGTCCATGCAGTGTATCAAAGCTTGCATTTTAGTTCTATGCCTTTGACAAGTCATGACGGTCAGATATGAAGATACATGCCAATTCTTAATCTATGACTAACTTTAGCTCACTCAATCCCGCGAGTTTTCCCCGAAATTTTGGCACTAATGTAAAGGCCGACTAGTAACCATAAATATAACCCAATTGCTTTGAAATTTGGCGCAAAGTACAACCTTAACCTATGATGGATCTTTAGACATACCAAATTTGTGTAGCCTTTAGTAGTTGTGCTTTGGGGTGTTGTACAAATTTGGCATTTTTGGGGGCCGAATGAGCAAGAGCAAGCCTTCATCGATATTGACATATTCTTGAGAGTGTCTAGATTTATATATTGTACGTCGTGTACAATAGAGACTGTTGAATACTTTCATGAATAAAAAAAATATGTATGTGTGAGAAAGGCAAAGAGAATCGATTGCGAAACATGCTCAGGTGAGCAGTGTGAACAAAAGTGCTGAAAGTGCCTTTATAAAAACCGCGATTTCTCCGTGTGTAATGACAGTATGACAGCAGAAACAAAATTCCAGCACCCCCATAAGCAGAATCGGTCAGGGAAATAATAAATTTACCTTATATAAAACCAAATAACTAGCACATGGAAAAATACTATAGAACCGAGATGAACCGAGTTATCTCGGTCGTGGAATTATAAACGCAGCCTGCGAGCTGAACGAGATATCTCAGTCACGGGATTGAGTGAGTTAAACGGAAGGGTACTATAAACAAACAAACAAAATTTTTTTAATGGGGAAAATGTAAACTGAAAGTATCTAATAGGCACCAGCAAAATAATAAGACATTTCTATTTCCTTCAGGTCAATGTACCAATGAATATGACAATCAGTCGCTAAACATCACATTACAAAAATCGTGGTCTTATTTCCGGGTGGTAATACCTGAAAGAATCAATACTATACATTCATCTTTATAAAAAACAGGTAGTTTTAGATTTTTCGTTTTCGAAAGCACTATAAGGCACTTACAACAGTTAGATCATATAAGTGCCGAAGATTAGATGTGTTCGAAGAGTGACAAACACCAAAAAAAAAAGGGTAGGAGAGATAAGGACGATAGATGTTTGATAGGAAAGAAGGAGCAAACCATACAAGAGCACCCGCCAACCATCCATGTAAATTTTTCGGTACTACAGAAGTTTCAAGAATCCAACAAATAAGCCTCAGAACCCCGTTCACATATATTTCAAGTTCAGAAATTCAAGCCAACTTCTTGGAAGCGTACAGAAAATGTGCGGAAAAAAAAACACCTCACCGAAAACAAAACAGTCCCAACACATTCTACAACAAAATGATAATAATTGGAAGCCATGTCAACCTTTCCTCTCTTTCAACACACCCCAAACCAACTAAAATGGAGAGAGAGAGAGAAAAAACAAAACAAAACAGCAACAACAAAATCAAGACGGCCGTCTGTAAAAAGCTGTGGACATAAACAAAAATATATTCTTTAAAGAAACAAAACAAACAAACAAACACAAATCACTCCAAAAGCAGGAACTATGCCACCAACAACTTCAGCCTTCAGCATCCGCAAGAACAAACAATCGCATTCAAGTCAACTGCAAAACTGAAGACCACCAACAATCAACTGGAGACAACCCAACCATAATCATAAAGAAAAAGGCAAACAATTTGGAAGAAGAGAGGGAAAAAAACAACAAAAAACCAAAGCATCTTTGACTGCGGGTGAGGGAAGCAGTGGGTATACTTACACGAGGACTCTGAGTACACAGAGCCAAGACCACGCTGAAAATGGTGCAATTTGATTAACAATGGCGACAAAATAAAGTTTGAGCACCCAGCACAGGGCGCATACATTTCATCTGCACCAATAAGGATTGCCGTAACTCTGCGTGTTCTAAATGACATCTCACACAAGCAGCACCACGGTAAAACAACATTTTGTCCTTTTCCTCTTGTAGAGCTGCCAACTTTTCAAAACCAGAAAAAAAAAAAAAAAAAGGAAACCAGACTGCATCGACACAGTGGATCAAGTTAGTGGCCTTAGGCCAAGTAACCCCCTTCCAAGACCCTCACACACATTTTTTTCTGCATTTAACCTCTTCCCTGCAGCGCCTGTAGAATTTACAGGCCTGAACCGTGTAGCGCTGTGCCTATGGCCCGTAGAATTTACGGGACTATGACAGAGTTTGTTTTGATACCAATTATAAGGGAAGGTACTGCTAAAATCTTGTAATCATTATTGAGGTACCTTCACTTTATGTTTACCACCATCCCCCCCCCCCCCCCCATTTGAAAGTGTCAGATTCAGATGTTAGCTCAAAGAGATCTACATCTAATACATCTACACAAAAATGACTTATTGGCAGTAAAAACAAATTACATGTATCTCTATATACGTATATGGACTGTACGAGCATTGTTTAAGGTAGGTAAAGCCTCTAGTCACTTCCTCTTTTCCTGCAGACACTGAGACAACATGTAGATCTATTCCCCCCCCCCCCCTTTTTTTTTTGTCTCAGTTTTTCATTACTCGAATGTGTGTTGCTTTATGCTGTTTGGTGGTGTTGTTTTTGGCATCATGTTACAAACTCCAACTTTCCTCCATCTCTCAATGAAATCCCCCCAAAATTATATCAATAGAAATGTGGTTCGATATAGAAAGTACATGCAGAAATTCATGAGGATATATTCAAAAGTAAAAAAGTTATGGAAGGTAGAATGGGGTCACCCGTGAGCTGCCTTGGATCATGGCATTTACCAGCTGAGTTAGGAAGCGAAACAAAATAGCGATATTGCCGAGCGTACACTGTGCGTCTATAGAGCATAGAAGGGCCCGATTTATGGATGTACACTGTACGCCGAGCAGCTGTGAAGCGGTTAAGATTCTAGTTTCAGTCAACAAATACTGATAACTTTCAATAAATCTGACGACTCACAGTACCGAGTTCTTTCTGGCTTGCATTGGCCTAACTTAATGTCTACATTGAGAGAACTGTGCCTACTACTGAAGTTAATTTACAAGAGTTGGTCTCACTGGTTGTAGCAGGAGCCACAAGTCATCTTAACCCTAATTTCATCTATTTCGCAGAAGAAATAGTCATATTTAAAGATGAACCGGTCATTGCCAGACATTGGCGAACGAACAATTACCATAATTTGGCAAACTAACATTAATGATGTCTTGAAAAGACAGCAGTCAAGTCAAAGACATACACAGGATCACGAGGGGCTACAACAATAAGAACACACACACACAAAATGGCTCGACCCCACGAGGTGGAATTCAAATTCATGACACCTATTCACAATGATATGGTTCATCCAATCCAGAAATCAATCAAAAACAACAAAGAAAAAAAAAATTCCAAAAGGAATTCTGCTAACCTATATATATATATATAGGTTAGCAGAATTTATAAAAAATCAGTAAAATTTCTAATGTTTCAAACTACAGAGATTATACATTTGCACAAAACAGGTTTCCAGGATGGCCACTTGTACACGGTGAACAAGAAACTTGCTTCCCTGTTACATTTTTTAGAAGTATCATAAAAAATTGGTTTAAAAAAAAAAAAGGATAAAAAATAAAATAAAAAAGATGTTAGTAGAAAGCATTAGAATCTGTCCAACAAGAGAGGACCTCAATGACCATTGACAGAAAATGAAAGTAAAAAATCACGATCATTTATAGTGCATACCTTCCTGGGGAGACTGAAAACTTCCTCTAAGACTTCTTCAGGGAGGGTATCCTTGATGATCGAAGGAGGCGACAGCAAGAGGCTGGTATCTCCCACCAGGGATTTGCTCTACAGGAGAAAAACAAAAACATAAAACAGCTTGAATTCAAACAGCGCCTTAAAAACACAAACAAAACTTTTTAGAACAAAGTTCAGATCCATGAGACCACAAAAATCAGACACAGTCTAGTTTCAATAGAAGTTTTACTGCACTTGAACAAACAGGTATCCAGTTTCTTGAAATAAAAAGTTATAGTGAGAGTTTTAGCTTTAGTAAGTGTTTTACGGCACTTGCAACACAATAAGGTCATATATTAGCAATGACAATGAAAAATTAAATTTTCATCCAAATTGCTTAAAAATGGACTTAAATGAAAATAGAGTAAATTCTAAGAACAATGGTTTTTAAAAATTAAAAATCCATTGATAAATAAAAAAGTTATTGGGACTTTTGTTTGCAAAATGTTGGAGGACCTTCATATAGGAAAAAATCGCCAAAATGTGGGACATGTTTTGATGTATTTTGAGGAAAAACTGTTCATAAGTCAGTAATGAATTGGAGCATATGAAGGAAACTTGGCATCTCCATCTGATTTTTAGTGCCGAATCTAGTTCTGCTATCACTTTTTCGATGTCTTCATTACTTTGGATCTTAAAGACTGATATTTGCGTGAAATTTGTTGAATTGCGTGACATCGTTTTTACCGCGACGCGATCACCCCTTCTAAAACTCAGTAAAGCGCTATCGGGAAAACCCGCGATGTAGTCATCGGTGACCCATTTGGTTATAGGCAGCCAATCACATGCTGCCTAGCGATCACGCGCCTCTTGCGTGCCGGCACCTCGCGTTTGGAATGCGCTATGAAGTTTCTAGATCTAGGGTTTTATCAATGGATGGGTGGTAATTTTAAGTTGGTACGGAAAATCTACTAAACGCAGAGATCTGAAATTTTACAGCAATAAAGAAGACATGTGGGGCGCTTGTGTGGTCGGCCATCAACCCGCAGCTCCGCTTAGTTTTCGAACCGCAGAGGAAATTCGCACAAACACGGCAATATCTCCGGTTCTAGTAATCGTTCGGGATTGTACGCTGGGATGTCGTTAGTTTAACCTTTCCTCTGGTTGGATGCCGAGTTTCATTTATTTTCGTCCAGGAGTTTTCCCGTAACTAAACTTAGAAGAGAGTCACTTCTGATTCCGAGCGGCCCAAAAAATACCCCTCGCGCGGAGGCCGATTTCCGGCACAAGGCGCAGCGGGCGATTGGCATTGCTACATATATAGTGAGAGTTTTATGGCACTTATAACATACAAATCGGTCATTTAAGGGTCAAACATAAGAGACATTCCTGGAAAGTAACATACCCAGAAAAAGGAAGGCAGGCATAAGGACAATAGATGTTTAATAAGGAATAAGGAGCAAACCACACAAAGCACCCAACAACCGTACCGGGGTCTCTGGAGAGTGAAAAATGGAGTCTGAAGTTGAATCTTGATCTTGTGACAGCTTCTCTTCCAGCGACTGCCGCACCCGTCTGTTGTGTTGGATATGCTGTGAGGAGACACATAGAAAACAGATATTTATAAAGAGATCAAAATTAATAACAGCAGGAAAATGAAACAATTTAATTGATTCCACAGGGAAAAATGAGTCTTTAGTAAAACATTAGAAAAGTAACACATAATATTTTGTTCATTATCATCTGGCTTGCTGACGTACAGCATCTTATTTTTGCGGTAGTTTTTATGAGGGCACACCCAAGTTACCACTGATCTAAAAGCCGCAGCACTTGATTTGAATAGATTTGATATCTCTGCCACTTACAAAAAAAAATCAATCATGATATATCACTGTGCAATTACAAACTTATATAAGGACTAAATGCTAAAACCAGTGATTAAAAAAAAAGAACATTTTGAAACTTTGTTGTCGCCATGGGAGCATTAACCTTTCACATCAAAACAAAAAAAGGAAAAAAAAATATCCCCAGAATACAAGTGACACTTGGCAAAAGATGTTTTAAAAAATTTTAGTAAGAATTTTATGGCAATTCAACACAGATGGGTCATATAAGTGCTGAGGAGTAGAGGTGGTACATACAAAGAAAAGAAGGAGGAGAGATGAAGCTAGATGTTTGATAGGTATGACGGAGGAAGGAGGAAACCACACCAGGGTGCCCACCGATCACTCACAAGAAATGTCCATATCTTCACACAACAAAATGAAAAATAGGACCTCTTCCTTGTAGAAAATCTATGTTTAGCACAAATTTTTTAAACAAAAACTGACAGTGCCATCACTTCAAATAGTATACATCTTTTAGGTGGACAAAGGCATCCTACAGCATGAAAACACAATTAGTACCCTATTACTGCACATGTCACAATCAAACTTGACAATAAATTAGAATGAGCATGTTTCAAGACCGACCATAAAAAAAAAATTAGCATGTTTCAAGAACGACCATAAAAAAAACCCCTTTCAATCCACACGAGTTCTCAGCAGTGATCAATATTGTATTTTAAACATCTGAAAGATGGAACATTCAAACTTTGTTCACAAACATGTAACAACAACAAAAATGTAAAAGATGAACAATGTTGATATTCGACTTTAATAATGCCACAAAAGGCAGTACAAGGAGATTTCTGTACAAAAAGCAAGGTCTTTTTAGTAGTTTTTACAGTGCTCGCAACTGCATAAGGTCATATGAGCGCCAAGGGATGGATGTCAACAGAGAAGTCCATCAGGGAATCAGGCCTACTCTGCTCACCTCTCTAGCTCCAACAGCACCACGTCTGCTTCAACTATCAAGGCACCCCGGAAATAGCGGGTCACAAGAGAATGCCAAACATACAAAAGAAGTAGAGGAAAAATAATTTTAGTAAGGATTAGGAAAGAAAAAACAGCAGGTCCTCGTATGCAGTTCAGACATCGATTATGAGCATGACATTGATGAATCGCCCTATTTACAATTTTACTGTTTAAAAGAACATGTCAATGTCTCCCCTTTGAGAATGGCCTAAAGACACTTCAATCAGTAGCACCGTCCAGGGGGTTTTGAAAAGCAAAGTCTTTCTTTCATGTTCAACTCAACAATGATTCTATATTAAAAATTAATTTCAGAATAATCTCTTATTCTTGTTTCCCAGTGAATATAAAAGCATAGCACCTGGGGTTGTTTTTTTCATGTGCTTTTTTTGTGTTTGGCCATTTCATTTTTCATGAACATTCTGAATTCGAGATTTGAACCATTCAGCATTTGTGTTCCAATGCAGTAGTGCCCCTTTTAATATTTCCCAACTTTCTTCAAAAATTGTGAAGATCTCTAAAAAAAACCCCCAGGTATATTATTAATTTTCTAGAGGATGCTGAAGAGCACTTAACTGTCCCTTTACAAGCATGTCATAAATCTGATCTGAGTCTTCGCACAGCATCTTTCAAAACAAAAGTCCACAAAAATGATGGGACAGAACACAAGAGAAAGATTAATAAAAAATTCGAACCCAACTGCCAGCTGCTACCTCCTTGTTGGGTTTTCTCTTGGACAAGCGAGCCTGAGAGGCTGGGGTGACCCCTGAGGACATATCCGCTTCATAGCCTGTGTCGCAGTCTTTCAACATTTCTCCCAGATCGTCAAGTTCACCAGGGCTCTGAAAGGAAGCAACGCTAATGTTTAAAAAAAAATAAAACAAAAAACTCAAGAGATTTTTTTTCTTCAAGTGCCAGATCTGAAACAGACATTGGCGACCATTGTTCGCCACACATTTCTTTGCTCAGATGCTCTAAAATAAATTCTGCTGTATTCCTGTCATTTCCCATCACTTATCTTTTTAATTTCTCTATGCATCTCAGAAAGTCATTCTTGGCAATACTACCTATGCCTTTTTTGCCATTAGTAAATCTCTCCCCCCACGAAAGAGAACAAAGAATACCACAAAATCCCAGGGTAAGAGGAGAGCTTACTGACCTTAAAAAATTGGGCTTTTAAATTTTAGAGATCAGGTAAATCACCTACAACCCAAAGAAAACGGAATTCAAGGGGGGGGAAAAAATGCATGCAAATCTAATGAAGCTTCTTCAAAATGCAAAATAAAATCAGAGAGCTCTGATTTTATCTGGGTACACTTGGCAGGTGTGCTAGAGCACTGACCACCCATCCAAAACCAATAAAGGAGCAAAATAAAACGGAGAGAATGTACAAGTGAATAAAGTGGTCAAAGTCAACGTTCACAACATACCCAGCTTTTCGACTTGGCCAAGCGTTCAACTTCGGCCATAGCATTCTTAAATGGAGTTGGAGTCCGAGGTGAAGATTCTAGAACATGTTGATTAGGATGGGGAGTCAAAACCCTCACATTCCTGCAGAAATTTTTTAAAATAAAAAATTAAACACAACAGGATCAGAAAACGAGGATAACTCTATACATCGCTACAAAAAAGGGTATACAGTTCAAGCATTGCAATATGTTTAAGGACAGTCCAGAGGAATAATAGACATGCATTTGCTACTTTGAACAAAGATAGTACATAACAAGATGGGCCACTTCTCTCTTTGAGCCAATTAAAAAAGTGTCCTCAAAATTTGGTGGCGCCCTCTTCACAAAAGCGCACTTTTGCGAACAGAGTTACCCTACTTGAGTTTTAAAAAATCAAAGTGAAACTAGCAAGTTTTGGGATAAATTACGGAAGAACACTTTTTTAAAATGGTTACGCTGACAAAAAAACTCTTCCGGAGAAAAGGGTGATGGTTTTCTTCGTTTAATTTGACTTTAGAATGAAAGGCGAGAGGTCATTAAAATAAAAAAAAACTAAAACTCCGCACTGAACGTACCCGAACTGCTGATGAACAGCAGTCGATCTGCGCACGCAAGGAGGTGTTATTCCTATTCTTCTTCTGGAAAAACGAAAGAGAGCTTCAAAACAGACTGCAGCGCCATCTGAAGCAAAGAGCATACTTCCTGCGGACACTTTTTTGGCTGAGTGGCCCATCTTGTTATTCACTATCTTTGCCTTGAATAATACAAATTATAAAGCACACAAAACCTCCTATTGAGCGGGGCTAAGCGCTCTACAAATACTATTTGTTATAAATATTGCATTAGCGAGGCTTGAACCCTTTTCTAAACGTAGACTTTTCTTCAGCGAAACACTGAACCAATGCACTGCAAATGCCTATTTTTAAAGTTTTAGTAGAGGTTTTATGGCGCTTGCAACATATGAGCGCCAGAAGATTAGGTGTTACAAGGGAGTAACAAACACAAAAAAGAAGGAGGGGAGCTAAAGACGATAGATGTTTGATAGGAAAGAAGAAGCAAACCACACCAGAGCACCCGCCAACAACCCGCTAACGCCAATTTTTAAAAAAAGTCTTTACATACCCATGAACCGCACCAGAGGGTGCTTGATTAGACACAGGTGTAGAGGTCAGCTTCCCACTTGATGTGCTTGGTCCATTCAGAAACTGGAGACAACAAATAGCATTTTTTTCTGTTTTAGTAAAGAGTTTTATATCACTCTCGACACAAATAAGGCATATAAGTGCTGAAGATTAGATTGAGAGTAACACTAACAAAAGGTGGACAATGGATGTTGGATAGAACAGAAGAAGCAAACCACACCAGAACATCAGCCAACTACCCAACTGCCAACAAAGAGCATCCAAGCTGTAGATCGTTGTGAGTTTGTATGTGCGTATGTGCATATGTACGTATGTGTGTGTGTGGTGCGTGCGTGAGTGAATATGTGTTTGCATGAGTATGTAACACTATGTACCTTGAAAATTGATCTGTAAATCCATTATATGTATCATGTTAAGCGCATAGAGCATTGCATAAGTGGATATGCGCTATATAAATGCAATCCATTATTATTATTATTATGTCGCACATTTTGTATTCCCCTGCTGAACCCCATCACACTACAGCTCAGTAAATGAAATGTAATTGTAAATATTTTACGCTCTCCAGAGACACAATGCAAATCATTTAGGAGCAGGTTGCTTTGACCCTGCTTGTCAGAGCCAAATGTAGCTGAGAGAAATACATCCATCATCCCAGCAGACGACAGAGATACTTGATATTTAAAAAAAAAAAAAAAAAAAAAACAACGTGCCCACACAGGAATAAAACTTTTGACATCTGCATGTGGTGGCAAAAAGCCCAACTATTACACTTGATGCTGGTTCAGCAAAAGTAATGAGGTCAGAAGTAGTGCCGCCGAGAGTCACCTGTTCGAGTCATTTCACAGTCCAAGATATGTCTACTGTCATCTGAAACTTTACCAACTAAAAGACATGTGGGGGGGAAATTCAAAATAAGGCAGCCACATTAAGACAAAGAGTCTACATAATAAGAGGGCCCACTCCTCTCTTTGAGCCAAATAAAAAAGTGTCCTCAAAATTCGGGGGCGCCCTCTTCGCAAATGCGCACCCTTTGCGAACAGTTACCCTACTTGAGTTTTAAAAAATCGAAGTGAAACTAGCAAGTTTTTAAATAAATTTCGGAAGAAGGCTTTTTTTTTTTATGGTTACGCTAACAAAAAACCTCTTCCGGAGGAAAGGTGATTGTTTTCTTTGTTTAATTTGACTTTAGAATGAAAGGCGAGAGGTCATTAAAATAAAAAAAACCTAAAACTCTGCACTAAACGAACCCGAACTGCTGATGAACAGCTGTCGATCTGCGCACGCAAAGAGGTGCTATTCCTATTCTTCTTCTGGAAAAAAGAAAGAGAGCTTCAAAACAGACTGCAGCGCCATCTGAAGCAAAGAACGGACTTCTGGCGGACACTTTTTTGGCTGAGTGGACCATCTTGTTATGTACTATCTTTGATCAAGATGAGGATCAACTGTCTAGTTACAAGCCAGCAAAACAGCACAGTTGAATCAGACTGGGAGCGGCTTTCCGGAGGAGCAAGGAGTTAAAAAAAGACAACCACTTTTCTTCTCCACAATGGGTGGCTGTATCGGACAACTTGTGACTTTACTCCTAAACCTAGAAAATAGAATAAATCATTTCAGCATCTAAATTTTTTTAAAAATAAAAAATTACATCACACATTATACTGCGCCTCACCTGAGATGGAGAAAATGGAAGGTGCTTGATAGGCGTGCGTGTTGGAGTGGTGGGTAGGGTTTGCACGCTATACTGTACAGGCTCGTTGACTGTGTTCACAATGCCCTCCGTCTCTGATGGCTCATCCTCCAGCTCATGTAGAACATTCTCCAGTTCTTCGGCAAGAGTTTTTCCATGACGCTGCAGAGGTAGGTACAATATGAACAAATCAGCAAGCGTATCCTGGATTCATCAAAACTGGGCCAAATGAAAAGCGAAAAAATTCCCAACAAATTACCAAAAAGTCAGTTGTCTGAGAAATTTACTTTTAGCTAGCTAGAGTTTTTAATGTTTGATACGAAAGGTGGAACAAATGACACCAGGGCACCTGCCAACCACGATCTGTTGGAGAATGCAACCATACAATATATGATTTGAGAGGATGGACAGATAAATCAGCCAGCCTAGTAAACTTGAAAACAAAATATTGTCGGGAAAACAGGTGTACGATATGTTCTTCAAGATCCCCCCCCCTCCCCCCTATCCTTTTTGTCTTAATACAGACCATAGATTAGAAAAACATAATGCAGCATTCCCATCTCAAGAACATACCCTTTTATACTTTCCACGTCGCAGGATTGGTGGTGGTGTAGTGAATCCCACTTGAGAAGGGGGCGAGTTTTGGACAGGAGGACTTGGCTTCTTCTCAGGAGCAGCATCTGGACCACAAAAGTTTTGTTTTATCTAGTCTGGTTTAGTAAGAGTTTTACAGCACTTTTGCAACACAACAATGTCATACAAGTGTCGAAGAATAGAGGTGTTACAAGAAAGTAACACACATGAAAAAAGAAATTGGAGTAAACATTTTACATCACTTGCAACACAATAACGTCATGTAAGTGTTGAAGATTAGAGGTATAACAAGAGAGTAACAAACAAAAAAAGAGGAGGACAGATAAGGATGATAGATGTTTGATAGGAAAGAAGCAAACCATCCAGGGTGACTGCCAGACCGGCTTCTCAACTTTCCAGGTACATGTGATATAACAATGACAACATGTGCTCCATTTAAATATGTGTGTGTGTGTGTGTTTATATATATATTTATATATAAATATAAACTACAAGCTGGGCCCCCTTTTGATGAAAGGAATGATCGGTGCATTAACATCAACTGAAAGTCATTGGCCTACTATATTTACACTCTACTGGAATGGAGCAATAAATCTTGAGAGAAAAGTGACACATGTACGTGTTTCCAAGTTGCCAAATATATAATAGACAAAGGAGTCAAGAAAATGCGATGATGGGCATCAAACGAAATGATTAATGTAGAATTTAGCACTATACTAAGTAAAAAAAATAGAAACATGAGGCTAGATCTATACGGGTTGCACACTTAAAATGGTGCTCAGTATTGCGCGATGGTATCGAACGAAAATACGACTTGAAATAAACAAACCTGACGGATTTTCTAAAATTACAGAGACAGAAGCGTCGGCCAACAAAGGCGATCATGATCTGGAGAATATTTTAAAGAATCTTTGGGCAAAAACCGCATGTCGATCGATGCAGCCATTAAAAAGCCTTTTGATTAGCAAAATTCGGCCACCACAAATAGATCATAGATATTATATAAATGAATCCAGCTTTGAGCCTGTGAAAGGACCTAGAGCCAGAATATCAACTGTCAAGAAGGAGTCTTGGTGTCATGATTCATACTATACACGCGAAAGACAAAAATTATTGCTCAAACTCAAAGTAGAGTAAAAACTTGAACGGAAGACTTAGTCAGTGTGAGAGTTGTAAGAACTGAGAATGGGGCAAGATGCAGTGACACTGAAAATCTGCCAATCTTGAACAGAAAGCTAAAATATAGTTATAATTCACTATCACCCATCCAATGAAACGTGAACACTTTAGTTCAATAACACGGCTTATAAGGTATGATGGATCTCGATTCCACACCTGGCCTGTACCAAAGCTCGCTTTGCAGAGAGCTCTAATAAAAATTCTAAAATTTGCTTCAACATCGGAGCAACCACCAATAATCCAATTGTAGTCAACGCCCATTTGTCCAAATTAAGAAAACCGATTAGAAGAAAAAAACAAAACACACTGGAGCAGCCAGCAACCACCCATGTGATCACTGAGATTGTACATCCTGACAGTGCGTTATGTCATACCTCCAGCGCTATTCGGGATATGTGTGAATTTGAAAGGGGGAGAAAAGCCAGGGTGGACGTCGATGCCTGTCATCAAATCCAGGGAGGACATACCTCCAAACTGAGAGTTTTCCATCATGGCATCAGCTACATCTGCAAACGATCTGTGGAACACACAGAATAAGAGACACCATTTAGTTTTAATTTCAGTAAAAGTTTTACACAGCACTTGTGACACAAATAGGTCATAAAAGTGCTGGAGATTACATGTTACATATGAGAGAGAGAGAGAGAGAGAGAGAGAGAGAGAGATAGAGAGAGAGAGAGAGAGAGAGAGAGAGAGAGAGAGAGAGAGAGAAAGAGAGAAAGAGAGGGGGGGGTGTGTGTGTGTGTGAGAGAGAGAGAGAGAAGAGAGAAAGAGAGAGAGAAAAAGTGAGAGAGAGAGAGAGAGAGAGAGAGAGAGAGAGAGAGAGAGAGAGAGAGAGAGAGAGAGAGAGAGAGAGAGAGAGAGAGATTCAGCAAAAAGTACGGAGGAACACTGGTGTGAAGATGACAAAAGAAAAATGGCCTATGACGAAGAAAATAAATAAACAAATAACATATACGTCCAAAATCTGGCAATTTGAATGGCACGGTTTAATCAGTTGGCTCACATTTAGAACATAAATCAAATGTGTCACCATGCAGTGGAATCAGGCGCCTGTCAATTTTTGGGCAAATGAAGTTATTGGTGTCCACTTAGAGGTTCTTCATTTGCCTTGCTTTCGATGAAAAAATATTCATTTATCCTGAACAGAAGTTGAGATATTTGCAAATGAAAGAGGTGGGGCCGCCTGGTTTCAGAAGTAAACGCAGCAAGAAAATGGGCGCCAAAGTATGGGGACTGCCATAGCTTAAGAGTCCTCGGAAACTGCAAATTTACATTTTTTATGCCTTTAATCAACGTTTTTTAAATAAAATCCACACATAAAGTGTTTTTGAATGGATATACAAGGTGATGAGCCAAACAAAAAAATTCGTGAAAAAAAATCCAAACTGGCCAAAAAAATGCAGATTTCTCGGATTTCATTATTTTGACGAGCGCCTGATTTCACCACGATGCCTCACAAATGGTCTTGCTCTCTATCTTGAGAAATCGGAAAGCAGCTTTAACAACAGAACATACTTGATGGGACTTGAAAATTCTTCTTTGAGTTCCGTCTTAGGCTGAATCACGGAATCACGTTCCGGGGAGGATGAAATGGTTCCTGTAAAGCACGTCAAAGGAAAGAGGTGAAAGCTTGTTAGACGGATTTGAATGTTAACTGCCATAGAGATGGTGTTCAGTAGTGGTCTATGACCAGTTTACAGAATAACTGACACCATTTGGACAGGAACCAGATTACGACAAATATAATTATAGTGAAAAAGAAGACACGGCTAGATAAAACAAGAAACCAGTGTATTTGATTTACAGAGATGACAGTAAATCCGAGTTGAGTATCAAAAGAGAAAAAAGCATATGAGCTAAATAAAATGCATGAACAGAATGATGAAAAATAATCCATTGAAAGTACCCATCAAGGGTCAGTTGATAAAGCGGCAAATTTATAGAGACAACGCCACAAAGGATTATGACAGTGTTATGTCCATTTATTTTATTTCCTAGGAGAGAGGCTCGAAGAGATTTTTAAAATAAAAACGGGCAAGTTTGGGGTCAAAACCCCTGGAAAAACCCTACCAGGAAGAAAACACCAAAAACAAAAAACAAATCAGTCCGACAAATGAGCAGATGACGACACGAGCCAAACACAATGTGTTTCTAAACAGAAAAATAATCACGAAAATTAATGAGTAATGTTTCCCCAACATTCAACCAATTATGGGAACAAAACTCGTGCATTCCAAGGGAATTGCACAGGAAAATTGAGAACACCATCATACCTGGCTTCGTGCCCTGTTTCTTAGCATGCTGGGAAAGTAAACACTTGTGTAAATGGAGTATCTAAATTACAAAGGAAATTCTAAAACCTGTTGGGAATATCGTTTAAATTTGTATTACCCATACAACAAGGCACACACAAAAACCATTGGCTTTAATTTGTGGGCTGGCTACACTTCATGGATGACAAAAGAAAGTTTGACACTTAAAAATCTGACCATATGTTATAGTCTTACTCCCTTTGGGCCCAAGGAAAGTCTTACAATTGGATGTGGCATAAAAAACAAATCTATATGCTGAACAAATAATTCTAGTAAGAAAATATCCTAATAAACAGTCTACAAATACATTTCTAAGACCATACTTGCCGCACAAAATGAAATCCTAAATATGTAAATGTGGTGAGTTCAAAATACGACAAGAACAACAGGTTAAAACAGTCAATGAAAGGTTTTTCAAAGCAATTACAATGAATGTAGAGAAAAAAAATTGTATGGATGTGCTGAATAAAACGGTCTCAAAACTAAAAATGTATCTTGCAGCTTCAAAAGCTCATTCGGAATCCCCAAGGCAACCTTGACCTTTACCCTCACAAATGCTCCTCACCAGGTTCTGAAAGAGTTGCACAGGCTGAACACTGAAGGAGTTCAATGAGCCGGTGGGGACAATGGGCTGGCTGTACAGGGATGGGCCGTTGTTGAAGTAGCGATGATCCGTGTTCTCTTCTACTTCGAACTTCCTTTTCATTGTAGAGTTCCAGTGGTTTTTAATCGCATTGTCTGTTCTGTGAGATGGCAAATAGAAGAAATGAATTAAACTAAGGCAATAAGAAAACCATTGCACTAGTTTTTCAGGTATGCATTCCTAAGACTTCTAAAAGGCATTGTTCAGGGAGGACGAAGGAGAGGCAAACAGAAGAAGAGATGGGAGGATAACATCCAAGACTGGACAGCCATGGAGCTGCGGGACACACTGAGGAAAGCAGAGAGCTGAGACTGTCAGAGGCGACCCAAAGGATGGCAAATCTGTGAGGACAGAAGAATAATAAGCAAACCCAGAATTTTAAAAGAACAGCATCTTTTAGTATTAGTATGGTAGTGTTTTATGGCACTTACAAAACCTGAGCAGGTCATTTATGTGCTGAAGATAAGAGGTGTTACTAGAGAGCAACAAATAAAGAAAAGGAGAGATAAGGACACTAGACGTTTGATAGGACATTAGACGTTTGATAGGAAGAAGGAGCAAACCACACAAGACTACCCACAATAGTAGCGTCAAAAAAGCAAACTCTTCAGTATGAATACAAACGCTAACTTCAATAACTGTGATTGTCTTTGGAGAGTACTCATGCTGACCCTTGGCAAAAATGAACACCGGAAGGCATAAACTACCAGACGACTAAGTGTACGCAGTAACCTAGCTTTTGCTGAATGGAACCAAGAAAACAGTAAGCTTAAATAAAAAATTGTACTTAGTATTCATGTATCCTAACATTGTAACAGCTCAAGGCATACACACGCTGTTGATCATGTTTGCCTTCTATTTTAAAGTAGTAGCAATTGCAATACCTTCCGGGTAGATATTTAGCAATCGCTGCCCATCTATTGCCAAGCCGTCTGTGCAACTGATAAATCAGCTGATCTTCTTCTTCTGTCCACGCCGACTTTTTAATACTTGGATTCAAATGATTATGCCACCTGAAATTAAGAATAAGACTTAATATAAAGGCACATATTGCTTCAATACAATATACTTATACCTTTTAACAAAAAGCACATCCTTAAGAACCTTTTGTTTTCAATACACAATTACTAAATCTCTTTTATAAAAAACACCATAAAACAACATTATGTGTAAAGATTCCTGAGGGTGGCACCGTAATGTGGCTCATTAAGTACCAAGGTACTGAGACACCATTTTAAGATGGCATCAATGACAGAAAATTCATAAACAAGACATGAATATGATGAACGGTCCACATTTTATGTTATAGTGGAGTAAAAACAAATTTCGATTTTCCCTCAAACTGTGACAGCACAGGACTGGCAACTCTTGAAAACTGCAGTAAAGAAGAAAGGAAAATTCAAGAATTAACTAACACTGTGGCTACAGTGTCTAAGTCTAACACATATAAAATAAAATGAAAAAAGAGCAAATAGGCAAACCTTTCAGTTTCATATGGTTTGGCGTTGTTACTCTAAACATTTTGTAAACATCCTGTGAAATAAAACTTTACAACCCCACCCCAAACTCCCATAAAAAACAAATTAAGAGAAACTAGAAAGACAAAAACAACATACCTTTCCCGGCACTGTTTTCCTGTTCGTCCTTTGAGATGCTTGGAGATCAGAGTCCAACGTTTCGGTCCGTACTCTTTCACAAGCTGGATCACTCTATTGTCCTCCTGAAGAAACAAACAGAACAAAAATTATTTTTTATTGCTCATACAGTAAAACTTCTACTGATGGTTTTCATTAGACATGCTTGTACAGCCAGATTTCAACATTGTAATTAACAGGAAGATAGGAGGAGAAATTCAAAGTTAATAAATTCAATCGATGATATTTTATTTTTTATTTTTTCAGCATTGGATTGTATAGGTATTCAAATCTTGCTCCAAATCAAATAAAAAAGCCTAAATACAGATTTTATTTCTAAAATCTATAGACCAACAAGTACAACAAAAAGAGAAGCACATATCTATGAAAAAGAAAAAACAGAAACCCCTCACAAATAGTATCGTCCTGTTTGCAGCCCAAGTGATATATATCATCATCATCATCATCCAGTGCCAGATCTGCGACAGACATCGGCGATCATGGCTCTCCATTCAGTCCTTTGCTCGGATGCTCTCAAAAAAGCTACATTTCCCTGATCTTTCCCTGTTACCCATTTCTTTAGGTTCCCTAAGTATGTTGTTCTGGGCAATATATACACACATTCTCAAAATTTCAAATACACAGCCAGACCTGCTTTAACTGCTACCTCTCTGTGAAACAAACGATCACTTTCCCCCTTTGCGTTTTTAAACTTGTTGCCATAGTCTATAACACTGTGCAAAACGTTCACTATAATTTATAAACAACAATTTTTTCTTCTCCACAATGGGAGGACATCTCCGACAATTTCCACTGTATTTCTAATCCTTTAAAAATAAATTTTTCGCTTACAAAACCTATAATCAGTACACAAAATGAAAACTTTTTCAAGAAGCACGACAAACCTCTTTTGCCCAAGGTCCCTTGACAAGATCAGGATTCAATACCTTAAACCACCTGTGCTGACACTGAATGTCAGATCGGTCAGAAAAGAAACTGCACACAACTTTCCAGTCATGAAAGCCTTTTGCTTCCACAACCTTTCTCAACTTCTCGTCCTGAAGAAGAAAAGGGAAAATATGTATAATCAGATGTCCCAAGATTCCTGATGCATTTGAAAGTTAAGACATTCATTGTTGAATGTCAGGATGGTTTTGTTAAGTTTGGGCTTTCTTCTGAAACTCCAAAACCTCAGTATGATTCTGAAGCTTAATTTCCATATGTGACGTAACCAGGAAAAGTAAATAATTCAAAATCCCAGCTTGTCACAAAGAAAACATAGAAGCTGCGAAAAATTCTGTCGAAATCTTCAAATATACCCCCCCCCCCCCCCCCCAAACCCCCCCCCCCCCCCAGAAAAAAACAGTCAGGGACCAGGGACATATTTTATGGTCATACCCCTCCTAAACTTCAACATCGCCTGTTTTATATATATATATATATGTAGCATGGATATCTACATGACACAATTATAAAGAACTTGTTCCCCTCTGGTAAATTTTTAAAGTATGGAATTAACAGCTTGGGCAAAGGGTCAAGTTTCACAAATTCTGAGGGCAACTTAGTCTTAGTCTGACTAAGAGGACACCAACAAACAGAAACGAAGAAGTAAATGAACCAAGGCATGAAAAGAAACATGAGAATATTTAAGCCAAAGCTACTGTTTCTCCAAAAAAAAATTTTAAAAAAAAAATAAAAAAAAAAAAAAATGTCTGGGAAGACAGAAGAATAAACTTATAATGTATCACAAAATGGGTCTTATTGGGAATATTTTTATAATCCACTGGCTTCTCTCAGACAAAGAAACATGGAATAAGTAAGACCTTTTTTGTTGTTGTTACATCACTCTGTACAGAGAGAAACAAAACAGATCAAAGAATTGGAAAGGAATGGAAATTTCAAATAGTCATTTTGAGAGTATAAAAATGCTCAGGACAATGAGGCTTGGCAACACTTATTCCCCCCCCCCCCCCCCCCCCCTTTGACCTTTCTTTCTAATCAACCCTGAAGCTTTTAAACTTTTGCCTCCATGCACCACAAAATACTGAAGAATATGACAAATGAATTTATCATGCACAGCAGTAGCCTTGATCATTCCAAATTACAGCCGTTTTTGGTGGATAAGCCCCAGAGACTTTCAATATTAAAAATTATTATAGAGGGTCCCAAATCAAACCTTTTAACTTTGATACTTTAAACGTTATAAATAAGTCAGTCTCTCAACAACTTCATGAACAGTTCATTTGTCCTGACCCTGATACACTTAAGGTGGAAAAATGAATTTCTGAAAACTTAAAAAAAAAAATTAAAAGTAATGCACTTCAATAAACCCCAGTGAGCATTCAAATGCGGGGAAAAAAAAGTAAAATAGAATTAAAATAAAACAAACATCAACATAATGATTATATAACAGTAATTGTACTGTTGACCTCCTCTTTGGTCCATTTGCCACGGTTGATGAGCTTTTTGCCTCTCACTTGTGGCAGGTTGTAGTCATGATCCAGGGGCTCTGTATCATCAGTTTCATCCTCACTACTCCCAAAAGATCGACTGTCACATCTGCGTTTTTAGTCAGACGTGCACAAAGGCAGTCATTGCTTTAGTAGCGATTTGACTATTTTTATGGTTTTGTCTTTCTATAGGCCTATTCGGTAACAAGTTTTCCTGTTTCCTTTGATAAAGACCGAAGAGTGCAAGCTTGCTTGTAGTTGTCATGAATGCCACCACATGTGACATTATCACTAAAGAACAAGTCACTGTTATTTTCGTTTGATTTCAGGAAAAACTAAGAATTATCGAAACGTTTGGCATTTGGAGCCATGGTTTGAAAAGTTCACTGAACTTGTAATCACAATAAAGTAAACTATTTAAGTACAGTGGTGTCCATTTTAAAACTGTAACAGCAACCCAAATAAGAGCAATCTCCACCTAATAGAAACCAAATGTGTGTAAAGAAATGGAATTTTCCTACACAAAGTAACCCTTTTAACAGCAATATTTTCCTCTTATTATATATAGCAGTCTTTGATGCAGTAAATTGTCAGACAAAAACAACAACAACTGGATTCAAAAACTGAACACCAAGATTGGCCCACAACTTCAGTGTACTGTAAGTATCTCTCCCCTCTTTTGTCTCCTCACATCCACACGAGCAAAAAATACACTGTGCTGAGTATAAGAGCTCAGTTCACACATTTTGTGAAAAACCATCCTTTTTCAATCAACGTCTCTCCCAAAGGAGAAAAAAAATGTTTAGGCCATTGTCCCCGTGGAATAACATTACCACCTAGCGATCGAGCACCGGTTTACCGGCGCTGTCTAAGTCGTCTATGTTCTTACTTTCCGTCACAACAACATCATTACATCATGCGATAATTACTTGAAGTGTATGTTGTGTGGTGTGTGTGTGTGAGGAGAAGACTGGGTAAGTGTGAGGGATACAGGTGGGTACAGATTACCTCTCCCCCCCCCCCCCCTTCGAATGAGAATAAAAATTCAGTTAGCAGCAACCTCCACCTAGAACACAGAACAAGTTTCAACAACATACAAAGGCTTGTTTCCCTTGAGGATTGCATCCGCAAACATCCTTCATCCATGCGCATAATAACTAGCAAGGAAACAATTTATATATCTGAGAACTATTGTTGTATAATTGTTTACAACCCCCTCTCGCACACACCATTATTCATTATACCCCAATCCTGATACCCCCAACAAGACCATCATTCTTTTTTAAGTTGCTTTCCCTCAAATTAAAAAAATGGTGCAGTTTGGCAGTCAACACCAATAAATTTACAAAAAACACCAACAAAATTTCTAGTCAAAAGAACTTCTTAGAACTTAAAAATTAAAAGCTTGACTTGTTAAGTTGTGCCACAGCCTGTGTTGTGTCAGCGCATTATGAGGAGAATTTCTTTATACCCCCTCCCCCCCCCCATTTTTTTTTTTAGGGTAACAGTAACAGTGAAATTAATGCCATGTAAAACCTAATTGGACCTCAACTTTTTAATAATTTAAATACATTCTGAATAGCACAGATCTTTAAAAAACTTAAGTCTAGACACAGACAATTCACTTTTCAATTATAATGTGAAGCGAGGTAATCAATTTAAATCCTTTTTGACCCATAAAATGACATCGCTGTTCGTCATTTTTTCTTACACAGAGAATGAGCCAAGATGTTGCTGTGACGTACAGTGTTTGTCATACCTTGTGTACTGCTTCTGTTAGATGCATTTCGTGCATTATTTGAGGATATTTATTCCATAGAAAGAAGACTTTGTCCTTTTAGATATATATATATATAGAATACTTAGTAGAGTATTTGAAAACCGGGTACAGGAAATTGACCACTAAATTTTATGCTACTCTGTGTTCCTGGCCGGCGAGCCAAAACTGTGCCTGGTGCAGCACAAACTGACCCTGTGTCACGAAGTGGTTGGTAGGCTACAAAATGTGCAGTCCTGGAAGATTGCCATAAAATGATCAGATTAAGGCTATGTCCCAAAGTCAAAGTAGGCTCTAGGTTAAGTTTAACAAGCAGATATTAAGAGAATGACAGCTAAACGCCATTGGCCGATATTTATTATAGTAAGTAACAGCCATCTTGTTTGACGTTATTGAGGGATTCCCACTTTGTTGTCATTCATGATGGCAACACGACCTCATGACAGCAGCCGGCAGCCTACCAACTCGGATTGGATCTAATTTTCTTTGCAACTTGGAGAACTGTTCGGTTCGGTTGTCTGTGATTGTGCAGCACCCTTCTTCCGCCCAGATTGACTCTGATGCTGTACACTACAAAAATTGAGAAAAAGAAGAAGACAAAGAGTAGGCCTATGTACTAAAGCAAGTTCAAACAAAGTTCAACGACGCAGTGCAAATTATCGACTGTTTCGATCTGGATCTTTTTTAAAAAAGTTTTGTAAGCACGCAGATTATCGACCGTTTCGATCTGGATCGTTTCTTTTTAAGTTTTGTAAGCACAAGAAATTAAGCACTTACAAGAGACTGGGCTCAATAGGACACTGCTGCAAATTGAGTAGATCTAGATCTAGATTAATTCGAGACTGCAAGGTTTGCAAATGGATACTGTGAGGTGCAAATGCAGTATTCACTAGGGGGAACCACATTATTATAGGAAAGACTCGGGCATCCCCCTTGCGAGGTCAAACAAGATGGCTGTTAGGTTACTATAATAATAAATAGGTAGCGTCAATTGCCACCGAGTGACGCGGTGGCAATTGACAAAAATTGACTTTTTGTCAATTGCCACCGAGTGAAGCGGTGTCAAGTCGGAAAACAACACTATCTTTAGCATTATACATAATGAAATGTGTGTCCAACGGGTCAATTTGTTTTCAACTAATTTCATTGGACGAGCATCTAGTCTAGAGCTACGGTACCAACTTAGCGTGTTTTCAATGAGATGTATCTAGATCTAAGGCAAGGCTAGCCTTAGCCTACTCTTTGGTGTAGAACCAACACAGGCAATTCTAAAAGTAGAATCTAGGCCTAGAAGGTCACAAACGCACACAAACTCAAGCAGCTGAGAAATTCATGTTATATCGGGGAACATAAATTGGGGGACTGGGGTCAGGAAAACACACACACATACACACACAGAAGCGAACGCACAACACCGAGCACAATAAGCTAGATCTAGATTTAGATTTAGATCTAGATCTAGATCTACCCACAAACGCAAAAGAGCTCCAATTTAC